TTGTGGTTGGTGGAAGGTGATATCCTGAGGTCGGGCTGTGCGGGCGGAGCCCCCAGGCTGATGGCAAATAGTGGGGAGGGTGGGAGGAAGGGAAACGAGAGGGCGACACGGAGGCCCCTTGGGCATGTTGAGCTGGCTCACTGGCACCTAAGGGATAGCTTGGAAAGGAGGCAGCATGAGGAAGAGATGGAGGCCTAAGGGCAGGACCCTAAGGAGAGGAAGTGGCTAACCCTGTTGGCCTCTGTGGAGGACAAGGGGTTGGCATCCCTGGTGATTCCCAGAGAGAAGGAACAGGCAGTGCACTGCAAGTGGTGTCCTCGGTGCGGCTGGCAGGGAGGGACAACTTGGAACTGTCTACATAAAAGGACCAAGGGAAGCCAAACGTCTCTAGGCACAGCACTCATCCCCTTCCTGGGTTCACAGCCAGCTGTGGGATTGCGAAGCCAGCAGAGCTTGGGGGTGTGGGATCTGGCACCTGGCCTGGTTAGAGGGGAAGGAGCCCCAGCATCCCGGAGCTGAGTGGGCATTGCTGGGTGACTGTGGTGGGGTGCATTAGCCCACTGTCTCTGGGGTCTCCGCATTCAGCAGTGCCTGGGAGGCTGCCTGGATGTTGGAAATGCTCCTCCCAAGTGCTTCTTGTTGTCCACTCTGTGACCCAGGGACCCCTGCGGGCACCAGGCAGCAGGGCCCTTGTGGTGTAAGGTACTCTGTGCGCCCTTCTGTGGCACCTGGTCCTCTCTTGTCATTATTGGGGTCTTGTGGTGGTGGTGGTGGTGGCCTCGGCGAGAGGGCTGTGGGGCTGGGAGCCACTCCCCAGAACCTGGTCCTGCCCGCCAGAGGAGGCTAGACCTGGGCTGGAGGGAGATGGCTTCCGCTTCCCTTTAGCCCGCAGTGACTCCCAGGGTGAGGAGAGTCCTCCTGCAAGGCCTGGGCAGCCCTGGAACGGGGATGGTGCCCTCACAGTGTGTCAGGGCTGTGGGAACAGGGCAATTGAACTGCTGCCCTGGCTTGGCATGCATTTGGGGCCTGCACTTGGCAGAAAGCAGGCTTTTTCGACAAGAGTTAGAACAGTCCAGGCTTTTCCGTGACAGAAGTGTCTGTGTTGGGCATGAACCAGTGCGGAGGAAGGTGGTGGAGGGGCCACAGACAATGGTGATAGACTTGGATGGGGCAAGAGGCCAGGGAGGGAAGAGAATAGGCCTTACCGCCTTCGCTCTGCATGCGTCTGTGTTTGAGTTTTGTACGGTGAACATGCATGTGTGTGTTACTTGTGCAAGCTTCTGAATCCCAAAATGGAAAAGCGGAAGGTGAAAGGTGCCCCTGTTACCTCACCTGGAGAAAAGGTGGGGTTGGCCAAGCCTCGAGTAGCACCAGCCCCAGAGCACAGGCAGAGTCGGGCTACAGGATACTAAGACTGATTTTTTTTTTTTCCCTTCAAATTTTTATTATGATTTGGGTAAAAGTTTACAGAGCAAATTCATTTTCCGTACAGCAGTTCATAAACATTTTGTCTCCTGACATTGACTGCAATCCCCACCATGTAACAGCTCCCCTCCCACTTCCTCCCTGTGGAGGGAGGACACCTCTTCCCTGTGTCCTTCCCTCCCATGCCCTCCTGCCCCCTGAGCTGTCTCCCTGTGCAAACACTGCCCTTCTGTTCCCCCATGATGGATCACTTCACAACATTGATTTTCAAGCGGCCACTTTGCTGTGGGACTTGGCTTTAAAATTGCCAGTCCTTTAGGGCAACCTACTCTTGTAAAGATTCACTGCCTGGGAAACCCAAAGAGAGTTGCTATGAGTCAGAATTGGCTTGATGGCAGTGAGGTTTTTTTTTTTGTTTTGTTTTGTTTTTTGGGTTTAGGACCAGTCTTGGGAGACAGCTAACTTAATTGGCATAGCACAGTCCACAAAGACAGTGTTCTCTATCCTACTGTGGTGAGTGGCAACTGGGATCTTCAGCACTAGCAAGCAGCCATCTAAGGGGCAACTGTTGGTCTTTCCCTGTCCGAAGCAAAGAAATTCAAAGATGGGAGGAAACAATTAGTCCAGAGGACTAAAGGGCCCCTCAGAACCCAGTCTTTTCAACCGTGAGACCAGAAGAACTAGATGGTGCCTGGCTAACACCGCTGACCACTCTGAAAGGGATCATAGTAGGAGGTCCTGGACAACATGGGAGAAAAATGTGGAACAAAACTCAAAATCATAAAGAAGCCCAGGCTTCCTAGTCTGACTGAGCCCCACCCCACCCCCGTGGCTCACCTTTCAGCCGAATGATAGGCCTCTAAGGTGAACAGTACCTCCAGGGAGGCACACCTTCCTTAGCGTAATAATCGGCCATGAGATCAAAAGGGCAGCTTTGGCCCAGGGATAAAGCTCTGACGGCAGGAAGGGACAGGAAAGAAGGAGGCATGGAAACGGAAAACACGGAGGAAGTGGGAAGAGAGCTGTTACGTGGAGATGCTGCAATCAGTGTGAGAAATAAGCTGTGCAGGCGTTGATGAATGGCAAACCAATTGGCGCTGTGCATTCAAATCGTAGTAAAAAGTTAAAGAAATAAAACTACCAACCCTGTCTAGCATGCTCCTACAGCCCCGCTCCCCTTGGAGGGGCCTCGTGTGGGTGACTGTGTGTGAGGTTCCTGGCAAGGTCCCACCCACTGCCTGCTTTCGTAAATGAAGGGTTCTTAGAGCCCAGCCTCGCTCACGCATGTCCACGTCACCTTTGCCTGCTTTTGTGCCACACGGGCGGGTGTGGGTGGTCACCGCGGAGACTGGGACCCACAGAGCTGAGCTCTGCTCTGTGGCCCCTTCCCGACAGTGTTGCCCGGCCCCGAGTGGACAGCTAGCTGTACACTCTCCCACGCCGTGCGCCTCCGGAAGCCCCCTCGGGGCCGAGTGTCCGAGGCGGGGGTTCTTTCTCGGGTCTGCGGGGTACTTTGCCGGTCCCTGGCCTGCCCTGCCCCTCAGCAGGCCTGTGAGCTGTTCCTCGCACTGCGCCACAGTCTCTGTGACACCTGCTTAGCTTGGCGTGAGACGAGGTGGTCCGTGCTGTCTCCAGCGCCAGCACTTTCATTTTCCGTCTTTCTCATCCCCTTTATGAGAAGGAGAAAGTGCGACAAGACGATCACAGGTTGCGCAAACATTGCAGTAAGGCAGAGGCAGTGACCCCTGAGTCCCCTGTTCTCTGGAGGCACCACCTCTGAGCGTGCCAGGGTCCGGCTCAGGGACGTAGGACCAGGGCGTCGGGGCCCATGCCCACCTTTGGACTACTGTGGGGCTATTTGGGGCTGGTTTCAGGGTGAAGGTATTTTCCTCCCTAATGCTTTTCCTTAGAGTGGAGTTTCTCAAAGATTACTCCCCGCAACAATGGTCCCGAGATGTTCCCCACAGAGAAAGGGATCTGTTAGGTTAGGGTCTGTTGGGTTTGAGGAACGCTAGTGTCTTGGAGCTAATTCAGGGGAGCGTGGACATGCGGGCTTCCGGGCAGGGTGGTGGTTGGGGGCCTGGGTGCCCTGGCCTCCCTGTGGTCATTCCTTTCCTGCCCTGGCTAGCCCCTCTGCAAGGACCCCTCCACCACTTCCAGGCTTCCGTGTCACCTCCCGCCCTGAAGTCCGCAGGCCTCGCCCACATCTTGCCACCACGGGCGGGCCGCTGCACTCTGACACTCTGTGGTGTGGCCTGCTCCTTCCTTCTTTGAGGTCTGCCCCGCTAGTGCGCACGCACGTTCCTTGCTGGTGTGGTTCGCTTGTTTCTCGTCCTGGGGATCGGGCTGGACACACAGCAGCTGCCTGGGGGGTATGAGGCAACGTTTGCAGGAATTTGGAACGTGGAGGAAGGTGACTTGAGAGAGTGGGCTGCTTTGTAGGGAGCTGTTTTCCTCCAGGGCACATCCCTCCGAGCTGCTTCCTGCCTCTGGCCGCCCGTGCCAGCCTGCTCGTCACCTACCTGAGCCAACTGAGCTCAAGTCGCCACTTGTGCGGGGTGGGACTCCCCTCCTCAGACCTGTGCAGGCGGGCTCCTGGCTTATTGTTGGGGTGCGCCTTGCTCCAGCTGCACTGCGGCTCGTCGGAGCTCATGGGGGTGTCATTCCAAGTATTCGCTCTTCAGCAGGACTAAGCAGTGAGCAAAATAGCGAAGAATCTGGGTCCTGGGAAGTAACGTGAAACCGGCCTCCTCTCCAGCGGAGACTGGCTGAGGTGTGGCTGCAGAAACCAGGTCCCACTGAGTCAGTCCGACTTATGGCGGTCCCCCCAGTGTCAGGGAAGAACTGCTCCGTGGGGGTTTCAGGGCTGATTGTTTTGCAAGCGGGTCGGCAGACCTTTCTCCTGAGGCACCTCTGGGTGGACTCAAAGCACTAACCTTTCAGTTAGCAGCCAAGCACGTTAACCATTTCCACTACCCAGGGACTCCTCGCATTCAGAGAAAACTCAAACTCACTGCCTGACCCATAGTAGCCCCTAATGACTTTCCAAGGCTTTACGGAAGCAGACCGCCTCATCATTCTAACACAGAGTGGCTGGTGGCTTCGAACCACTGACCTTTTGGTTAGAGCCAAATGCCTTAAGCACTACACCACCAGAGCTCCTACAGAAAGTATGAATAATGCTCACTGCTTGTTCCTGGGAAGGACCAGAGCAGCCGTTCCCTGCTGTGCCAGCAAGTGGTGATAGAACACCCACTGCTTACCCTGAGGTCCTTGTGCGTGTGCCTTTTTCCGGGGTGCAGGGAAAGCAGAAGTGGTATTTCAGGCCTGCTGTCTTGCTCGGGTGCATAGGGAGTGATTTCCCGTGGTTCTGAGCAGAGAAACAAGCTGGTCCTTCTGTTCTTCAAAGAAGCTCAAGGCCGTGAGCCGAGGGTTGGCACGTGCGCTGGGGAGACCGTGTCAAGCCTCTGTGGTAGGCTTGACCAGAGGATGATGAGGGTGGATGAAGGGGTGGTCTGTTGGGGAGGGGGAAGGTGGGTAGCCCAGGACAACCGGTGACTTCTGCCTTTCAGCTGCTCCGTTTGGCCACGAGACTTCTGGGGCAAAGGCTGTTTGACAAGCTGATGAAGATGACTTTCTACGGACAGTTTGTGGCCGGCGAGGACCAGCAGTCCATCCGGCCCCTGATCCAGCACAACAAGGCCTTTGGTGTTGGCTCCATCCTGGACTACGGAGTAGAGGAGGACCTGAGCCCCCAGGAAGCGCAGCAGAAGGAGATGGAGTAAGCCCCCGACTCCCCGTGGTGTCTGTCCTCAGCCCTCCTGGTGTAGAGGCTGCACGGGCCATTCTGGCAGGAACCCCAAGTCACCCACACGCCGGGCCAGCTGGACCAGGGTGGGGGGCCTCAGGGACCAGCCGGGGCTGTATGCCGCTGCTGGGCTCCGACCTTGGCAAGGCTAAGGCCGGGAGAGCTTGATGAGCCCCCATCCTCAAAGACCCTCCTGGGTGTCTGCCGGGATTCTTGCATTTACACACTGTGGGGGCGACAGCTCTGGCATTTCCTGGAAAGCCTGGTGCACACATGCAAGACTAGAACAGGGTCAGCAAACTGTGGCCAGATCCGGCTCCTGACTGGGTCTGCAAGCCACGCCTGGCTTTTGCATTTTTAAATGGTTGCAAGAAAAACATAAAAAGCAGTATTTTGTGACACATGAAGGTGATGGAAGTCCCATTTCGGTGTCCGTAAATAAAGCTTTCTGGGCACCCAGCCAGGCCCATTTATTTCCAGTGTCTGTGGCCTGACCTGGGCAGAGTCAAGGAGTGGAGGTGAAGACATGTGGCCGGCAAGGGTGCAGATACCCTGTCTGCCTCACCATTCTGCTCACCCATCCCCAAAGCGTGCTAATCCGTACCTGGAATGTGCAGTAGGGAGTGGCTTGGTGGCTGGAGTCTGCTCCTGACTTGCCCCAGGGCCCATTCTTTGGGCAGAGAATGTAGGAGTGGGCACTGACAGGCCCCTCCATGCCCCATCTGGGAGTGACAGGACAGAACCACGGTTGACTCATCAGGTCCAGGCAGGACCAGCCCTTCTTCTTTTTCTTTTTAATTGTGATTTGGGTGGAAGTTTACAGAGCAAATTCATTTTCCATACAGCAGTTCATGCACATTTTGTTTCATGCCATGGATTGCAGTTCCTATAATGTAACAGCTCTCTTCCTGCTTCCTGCTTGTGTTACCTTCTCCCTGTGTCCTTCTTTCCTGCGCATGCCTGGCCCCTGAGCTCTCTCTCTCCCTGTGCAAACACTGCCCTACCGGTCGGTCTCCCACGGGTGATTGTTCCCCAATGGGTGTCTTCCTCCTGTAAAAGTTCACCTTATGCGTCTATTTGGCTGAAAGCCATGGGAGTGAGTTCAATTCCAGGCCCTAAGGGTGGCTAGGGACCAGCCCTTCTTTTGCAAAATAAAAACTAATAGGGCTTAGAAAAGTACCCAGAGCCCTGGGGGCCAAGCTCCCTCTCCAGCTCCTTGGAGACTGTCTGTGAGTGGGGTGGCTTTGTATGTCTGTCTTTGCCACGCAGCCTTTCATCCAGGATAACATAGTATGGGGCAGCTGGGAGCACGGGCCCCCCTGGCTCTCGGGGTCACTGGCCATCTGTCCCTTCCTCCAGGGTCTTCTTACCCTTCCTAGCCTGAGCATGAAGCCTGGCTTGGGAGCTGGTCCTGAGGGTGGAGTAGCCAAGGACAGGTGACCCTGGAAGAGGCTAGGATATACCCCTGCTTCTGGCAACTGGGCTGGCAGCCAGCTTGTACCTCTGCTCCTCCCAGCTGAGCCCTCACTTTGATTCACACAGCAGTGGGCCTGACGTATGTGAGGCTTTGGACAGGCCTGCTGTGTAACCTGCCCCTTGGTTCTGGGGTGTGTGGTGTTTGCTCTGCCCATCCCCAGGTAGCTGGCCTGGAAGGGAGGGAGAGGCCGTCACATGAGGCCTTCCACCCAGGGAATGGGAACGGAATGTCCGTGCTGGCTGCCTGCTGCGGATTGGCCCAGGGAGGCCAGCCCCTGCCTTGTGATTGGCTATTCTGAAGGCGAGGTTCTTGTCCAGGGACCTCCCCGTGTCCCTGGGGCCCCTGTGAGGCTCCTGCCAGTTTGAGGTCTTGGCTGCAGCCTCTGCTGACGCTGCCTGTTGAATAACTATTGGGTCTTGGGTTAGGACAGAGCTGTTTCCCAGGACAATGATGCCATCCCCGCCTGCACGCAGAGCCTCGCACTCTCTCCCGGAGGGCTTCAGCCACTTCTGGCCTGGGCTCAGCGAGTGTCTGGAGGTGGATGGCCTCTACCCTGACTGTCTGGGGCCCTGTTCCTCTGTACCTGCGGAAGCCCCCAAAGTCCCGGGGTGTGAGTGACTATCCCTTCCCATCCTGATGGGCAGTGCTGTCTGATGCAGCAGGGGCTGAGGAGTCTCTGAGGGCTCTGGGCCACGGGACCAGAGCTGGGCTTGCAGACTGAGTCCAGCATCCGTGCCGCAAGTGGCCTCCCTGGCTGGCCGGGGTGTGCCTGGCCAGGAGTGACACTAACCACAAAGACCTTTGCAGAGGACTGCTTCAGTGTCCCTGGTGAGTGACCAGGGGTCTGTCTCCCTAGCCAGCCCATCCTGTCACGTGGCCCATAGAGCCCACCCTGGGGAGTGGTGCGGAGGCTACCACCCTGGTGGGTGCCGGCAGCTTGGCCCCGGTGTGACTGTAAGAGGCACAGAAGGAGGCGCAGTACTGCTCAGTTACGACTGTGGCCTCTAGAACCGAACAGCCAGGGCTGGAGTCCTGGCTCTGCCAGTTGCCAGCTGTGACTTTGGGCAAATGACCTAGCTACTCTGAACATCAGTGTCTTTATCTATTAAAACAACAACAACAACAACAAAAGTGGGAAAATAATGGCAACTACACCAGAAAGGATTAGAGGCGCTCAAATGTGGGGTGACCCAGCAGTCCTCCCAGGGAGTGTGGGAGGAGGCCAGTGGGCCTTGGGGAGGAGTGACCCGGGAGGCCTTCCAGGGACTCAGATGGGGGGGCAGGGGGCTTGGAGGCACAGGAGGGACAAAGTGGGCGCTAAATAGTGCTTGTTTTTCTTTTTCTTTTTTGTTGTTGTTGTGCTCTGGGTACAAATTTACAGAGCAGATTTGTTTACTGTCAACAGTTCATGCCCATTTGATTTCACAGCCCAATTACCATCCCCAACCATAAATAATGCTCCTCCCCTCCCCTCCCTGTGACTGACCCCGCCCTTCTTAGCTCTGCATTCCTGGCTGTCCAGCTTGCCCTCTGTGTGAATGCTGCCCCTCTGGTGTCTCATGGCTGGTTGATCCAAGGGGTGCAGCTCCCTGGGGTAGGTGTTCTGCATGTAGGTTTTTCTACTGTTGGGCTGAGAGCCAATCCATGGAAGTGAGTCCATTTCTAGGCCCAAAGGGTAACCCAGAGCCATAGTCTCAGGGGTTCCACCGGTCTCTATTAGACCAGTAATTCTGATCATTTTTGTGTTTTTGAATTTTGTTCCACATTTTTCCTTTCACTCTGTCCAGGACCTCCAGTTTTGATCCCTTTCTGAGTGGTTGGTCTTGGCAGCCAGGCACCATCTAGTTCTTCTGGCCTCGGCATTGTGAAGGCTGAGTTCCTCGGGGTAGTCTTATCTTTGGACTAATTTGAATGGTGCTTGTTGAAACAGCAGCACTCCCACCCCCAACACAGGAGAGGCACCAGAGGCCAGGCCCAGGATGGGGCAGCCCCCCTGGCACTGGTTTGAGCACAGTGCTGCCTAGAGTGAGGGGGGCTCAGGGAGGGGAGCCCAGGTGGCAAGGGTGTGTGCAGCATTAGGGACAGCCACCACTTGACTGCCCTGTGCTTCCCTTCCTCCTCCCTTGCACTCTCAGAACAGACTTTGCCAGCTGTGACCCAGCAGCTAGGTCTGGCTCTAAGTGTGGCCCTGTCCCTCCGAGCCCTTTGTGGCGTTCTTTGACCCACGTGCTTGTATGTCTGAGCTGCTCCTTTCCTCAGCTTGTTCCTAAAGTGCTTCCTCCTGGGCACCCCCGATGGAGACAGTAGCGTGATGGGCACTGAGCAGCTAGGAGTGGGGCCGTCCCACCCCGGGTCACAGTGTTCCCACCCGCCCGCCAGCTCTCTTACTTGCCTGTGTGAGTTTCCTGCCTGAGCCTTCGTCTGGCCTTCCAGCGCCCCTGCCTTGGTGCGGCCAGTGGTGACTATTAGAACTCTCCCTCATTGAACGGCTTTTGCCACAGCTTGAAGGGGTGGAGCTTGCTCTGTGGCGGGTCTGGAGAGTGGCAGGTGAGCTCCTGTCTATTACGGCTTCCTCCAGAGCCTGTGGCCTTGCAGAGTCAGAACTGTGACACTTTAGGCTCTTTTGTGTTACATCAAGCATACGGTCTCCTTGTATCAAGCCTGATCGGGTCACACAAGGGTGGCCGGACGATTGGACCAGATGGGTAGGCATGGCAATGGGGTGCATAGGGCTACAGCCTCTGGAAGCTGAGGAGCCTCATGGGAGCCACTTCCCACTGCAAGGCCTGACAGTGTGGGCCTCAGAGGCCCCAGATGAGCCCCCGGGTGGAGGTGGGGGTTCCCAGCACGCAGCACAGTGAGGCAGACAGGCTCCTCAGCTCCTTGACACATGGGGCTGTCAAGGGCCTGAAACATAAATGTGAGATGCTAGACAAGGCTGCTTAGCACCGTCTTTGAAGCCGACACCCAGGGAGACAGGGCAGTCAGGTAGAATGGGGTGACTGAGTGAAACGCGGTGCTCAAGTATGGGAGCCACGTGTGACCATTCCCGATGGTATAGCATCACAATTGAGCAAAAGGGAGCATCTTGGCTGCTGTGAGGAGGGGCACGGCCCTCAGCTTGCCCAGGGAGGACATGGGAGCAGCGCAGGGTTGCAGAGTCGGTGGGGGTTTACACAGCCCCTGTGGGCATCAGAGGAAGGGAGGGGCTGGTGGGCGTGGGGCTTGTGTTGGGCAGTGGGAGTAGCTGCAGGGAGGCTGGTGGGCCACTGTGGAGGTATTGGGGTTCTCTCGTGCCACTCTAACAGACATACCACAAAGGGTCACTTTAACAATCGGGTTTATTCTCTCACAGTTTAGGAGGCTAGAAGTCCAAGTTCAAAGTGCCAGCTCTAGGGGCTGGGTGAAGGCCCCTAAACTTGGACTTCAGCTCTGCCTCTTGCTTCCAGGCCACTGAAGCTGGAGGCTTCTCTTAACTCAGGCAGCTGCTGGCTGCTGAGGCTGACAAACCCAAGGTTGACCAGTAAAATGGCAACAATCCCAAGATTATTAAACAGCATGGCAGGCCACTAGTTCAAGTCCAGAAACAGTCCCAAGATTGGCAGGCAATCATGGCAGGCTGCTGAATGAAGACTCGGTCACATGTAGGGTCCAAGCATGCCAAAAAAGCTGGAGACCTTCCTCAAAGCTTCTTACATACGGGAAGCAGCCCACATCCCTAAGGCAGCTACTCAGCTGCCCCAGTAGATCCCACCATGGAGGTGACGACCAGTCTCATCCTGGGGAATGCTGCATCCAGCCGCCCAGCCACTCAACCAGGCCCAGCCAAGTTGACACAGAACCTTAACTACCACAGGTGGGATGGGGTAGGTGAGCCTCACTGTCCTAATTGGTACTTGGGGTGTTTTCCCTGGTATGATGGGAAGCCAACCGAGAAAACGGAGTCCATTCTGACTCACAGCAATTCTATAGGACAGAGTAGAAATGCCCCATTAGGATTTCTAAATCTTTACAGAAGCAAACTGCCTCATCTTTCTCTGAAGGAGTTCTAACCACTGACCTTTTGGGTTCGCCGACGGAATGCTTTAATCTTTGTACCATCAGAGCTCCTGATGGGGAGCCAGAGGAGGTTTTAAAACCAGGGAGCAGATGAGGTCAGATTTGCATTTTAAAGGAAAAAGCTTGGCTGCTGTTGGGAAAGTAAGCCTTGGGGGCAGGATTGCAGGCTGGAGGTGGGGTTGGCCCAGTACCGGCCATAAGCAGGAGCTTGGCCCCAGGCCAGCAGGTGGAGGTGGCCAGAGACCCTGGATGGGAAGTGGGGGCCTCAGGCTAGCGGGTGGAGGTGTGGAGACCCTGGAGTGGAGCCACTCATGTGTGTGTGTTGTTTGGTGCCAGTGATCATTTCTGACTCACGGTGACCCCGTGTCCGAGAGAAGGAAACACTGCCCGGTCCCGCGCCGCCCTGCACCGTATCAGACAGCGTTTCACTGCAAGTCAGAAGGTTTGCAGTGGCCCGTTCTTTCAGAAGTGGGCCGCCACATCCTTTTTCCTAGTCTTAGTCTGAAGGTTCCTCTGGACCTGGTGACCCTGCTGGTGTTTGAAATACAGGTGGCAGAGCTCCCCGCATCACACGACACACAAGCCCCGACTGTGCGACAGACTGACGGAAGGGTGGTAGTCCCGAGTGTAGGCTGCACTCGTGTGCGGTCATGGTTGAACGCTGTGGGCTTGGACCAGCTCCGTGAGTGTGTGTAATCTAGCGGCCCTTCCTTTGGTGGGGCCTTTTAGAGGCAAGGGGCCCTTGCTCCCTGGGCTTTGGGAATTCATGCACTGGGTAGCTTCCCAGTCTCCACTCCGTGCCAGGCGTGAGCAGGTCAGCATTCCCGCTCTTGGGCGAAGGGCGGCCCTCATACATCACTTCCTCGGGAATTTGCTCCCTGTAGATGTCGCTTTGAACTTGCCATGACTTGTTTCACCCGCTCCTCACTCACTCGCTCATACGGAGACACCCTCATTGCTCCCCGTGAGGAGCCTGAGGCCAGGAGAGGGTCAGTAGTTTGTCTGAGGACACTCGCGGCTTATCAATGGCCAGCATCTGTCCCAGAGGCAAGTTCCTTCAGCTCACAGGTGACTTTGCCCCAAGCACAAGCAGGGTACCCCCCCCCAGGTTACCTCTGACAGGGCTGCATGTGAGAGCCAGCCCTCTTCAGTCAGGTTGACAGCCCCCAGCTTCCTCTCATCACCTCCACTCCCTAGTTAGGAATGTGCTTGTCACCTGCTTGGAGGTAATGTGACCCTGACTCATCTGCCTGCCTTCTTCCCGCAGGTCCTGTACCTCGGCTGCAGAAAGAGACGGTAGTGGTGAGTAGGAGGTGGGCTGGCTCATGAACCCGTGTGTCCCGGCAACCCACGTGTGTGCCATGGGATCAGAATGCCAAGTGCAGGGCCAGCCCTGTCAGAGGCACAAACAAGCCTTTGGGCAAAGGGATGGTGCCCACAGCCGTTGTGCCCTTCGGCTTCCCCCAGTCCCTCTGTGTGCTTCCTGGTTAAAGACAGACTTCCTGTCTCCCGATGGGAGCTGTCTGGGCTCCTTTGTGACATGAGCTCTGCCTTCCTGTCTCAGGCGAGATCCACGACGCATGCCAGGGCAGAGAGGGGCGCTGGGGACGGACGGAGCGGCAGGAGCAGGGCGCAGAGCTGAGCGAGGAGGGCGCGGTCGTGCCCATTGTGGCTGGGTGCCGCCGAGGCAGCTGTGACTCCCGGCGCCCCGTACACAGCAGAGCAGCACCCCTGCGTCTGCGCAGCCTGCTCCCGCGTCTTCCTCCCAGTCCCCGTGCTGGAGCCCATCATGGCAGCCACGGGGCCGGGCCATCCCGTTGGGGGTCTCCCCCTTCTTCCCCGGGCCTCTGCTTTACCAGCCGTAACATGAGGTTGGGTTGCCAATGCCGAGAGAAAGCAGGCCAGAGAAGTAGGAAAGGAGAGTGTAGTCAGGAGACGCAAGCATCAAGGCAAAGCGGCTGACTCTCTGCGCTCGAGAGACCAACCAGCGATGGTCTCAGTTAGGGTCTTTTCTATCCTTCTTTCTGGACTCCTCATTTCTCCGTCTCGGGGTTTAAGACGTCATAGGGTTTAGTCAGCCAGCTTCCGCAATTGGCACGTTCCTTCCTTTCGGTCAACTTGTTTCTTCCTTGTGGTCATGGTGCCTCTATAAGATAAATTTTTACAAGAGTCAGACAGCAGTCATTAACTATTTTCAGAAGTCTGATAGTCCGGATTTTTGTTTTTTGGTAACATTCCATTTTGGCTGAGTATAAATTACTGTGAGGTTTGATTTTTATTAACCCTTTAAGTGTGAGGTTTGATTTTGTTAACCTTTCAATATTCTTCTCCAGGGAATAGTCCCTTCTCGCACTGTGACCAAAGTAGGTGAGATGAAGTCTGGCCGTTCTTGCTTCCAGGGAGCACTCTGGCTGCACTTGTTCCAGGACAGATCTGTTAGTTCTTTCTGCAGCCCATGGTATTTTCAGTATTCTTCACCAATACCACAACTCAAAGGCATCAACTTTTCTTTAGTCTTCCTTATTCATTGTGCGGCTTTCACATGCATATGAGGTGATCGAAAACACCATGGCTTGGGTTAGGCACACCTTAGTCTGCAAAGTGACATCTTTGCTTGTTAACACCATAAAGAGGTCTTTTGCAGCAGATGTGCTCAGTACAGTACAACGTCTGATTTCTTGACTGCTGCTGACTGGGTGGGTCGAGGGGCTTTGGAAACCGTCATGTGGTATGAGGAGGAGCATGGCAGGATAGTGCAGCAGGGCCAAGGCCCAGCAAGCCTGCGGCTGCCGAGGACCACCGTGCTGAGAGCAGTTGGCAGGGCATGCTCTGCTGGACTTGGGCTGGGTGGTGGCTGGGGGTGGGAGGCGGCAGCCAAAGCACACGTGTGTTTGCCTTTGCAGATACAAGCAAGAGGGAGAAGCAATACCAGCCCCAGCGGGGCTTTGGGGACCGTAGGGACGGTGTCATCAGTGCCCGTACCTACTTCTATGCCAGTGAGGCCAAGTGTGACAGCCACATGGAGACATTCCTGCGCTGCATTGAGGCTTCAGGTGGGGCTGACCCTTGCATGTGGTGACCACGGAGCTGGGGCCAAAGCAGCCAGCGTGGGAAAGCACTGAGTGCTCAGGGCCCCCATCCCCCCTGCTTTGGGTACAAAAGGGGCAGCCCTGCGCGGTGGGTGTGGAGGTGACCTGGAGTGACACGGGGGGACTTGGGTGGCTTGCGGCAGCCTCTGCTCACGCTCTGGCCTTGCCTATATCCAGCATGGGCTGCCTCCAGGCAGGTGCCTTCTGCCCCCACCCCCTGCTGCAGCCCCTTCTGGTCACCAGGAGTGGAGCTTTGGGTAAAAGCTGCCGACGGCCAGGCTGAATACCTCTCTCCCGGGGAGTGTGGCTTTGAACAGATGTGCACTCTGGTTTCCCAAGGGCCACACAGTTGAGCAAGCCGGGGCACAGTTCACAGAGACTCCTCCGGCAGCCTCCGGTGGGGACGCAGCGGTGGCAGGAGGCCGCCAGGGTCTTGACCTCTTTAGTCCCTGGCGATCAGCCAGGGGACAGCACAACCCCAGTCAGCCAGCCTGGGCCCCAGTCCTTCCCTACAGGGGAACTGTGTCCGCACCTCTGAGCCTTGAGAGAACGGTAGGAAGTGTCTCCTGAGAGGCTTGGGGAGTCCCAAGATTCAGGCAGCCGTGTGGCTATGGCCCCTCGACAGTGGGTACCCCAGCCGTGCCTCCCTTGCCCCACTCTGTTTGGGGCAGGTGAGGAGGAGGCCCACACAGAAGCAAACGCCCAGGAGAGTTCTGGGAGCAGGCCATCCATTGCCATCCACAGCCTGGCCTGTGTTCAGCATTCCACGTGCACAGGCAGCCCGTGTTGCTGGTGGTGTAGGAAGGGAAACTGAGGCACAGGCAGGTCTCTCTGGCTCCTTTTGCCCACTGCCTGACCACCTTCCTGGACTTGTGGGACAAACAGAGACCCTGCCAAGTTGGCTGTCCCTATCTCAGCAGGTGAATCTCCCGAGCAGCCGTGTGTAGGGATGTTTCTGGGGCTGTCTGGACTCTTAGTGGGACACTGAGCTCTGGGACCAGCAGCATCTGCCAGGGCAGACCTCCCCCTAGCCCCTGGCATCCATGTCTCTGCCCATCTCCCCAGGAGCCCTCATGGCTCTTTCGGTGGCTTCTAACAGGCTGGTGGCATAATGGGTAAGGCACGTGGCTGCTAACCAGAAAGTTAGTGGTTCAAACCCACCAGCTGCTCCATGGGAGGACAATGAGGCAATCTACTTCCATAAAGATTTACATCCTTGGAAACCCAGTGAGAGTCACTATGAGTTGGAATCGACTCGATAGCAATGGATTTGGGGTATGTGTGTGTGTGTGTGTGTGTGTGTGTGTTTGTTGTTATGTGCCGTAGAGTCGGACCCGACTCATAGCAACCCCTCCTTGGGTTTCTGAGGCAGTATCACTACAGAAGTAGATTGCCCAACCTTCCTTCCAAATATATACATGTATATATATATAGATATATATATAGATTTTTTTTTTTTTTTTTTAACAGGTGGAGCCAGTGATGACGGCTTCTCAGCCATCAAGCTCACTGCACTGGGGAGACCCCAGTTTCTGGTAAGTGCTAGAACCTTGCACCTGCAAGAAGTTGAGGCTCTATGAGCATTAAGTGAAAGCACGTGTTCCAGTACCTTGGAAACCGCAAGTCCTGGCATAGGCGGCCACCTGGGGCACAGGGCCTGTGCTGGAGGTCCTGGGACCGGGAACTGGAGCTGGCGTGCACCTGAGCAGGACCTGAGGTCTGCATTTGCAGCTGCAGTTCTCGGACGTGCTGACCAAGTGGAGACGGTTTTTCCACCAAATGGCTGCAGAGCAAGGAAAGGCTGGGCTCACGGCCGTGGACGTGAAGCTGGAGGTGGCAGCACTGCAGGTGGGTGCCAGTGAGGGGCACGGCCCTTTCCAGCACTTGACACAAGTGGGGAAGAGGGCCGGCGAGGCCACCCTGTGTGGCAGCGCTGACAGGAACAGCGCCTCTCCTCCCAGGCCCTTGGGGAAGGGCTCAGACCAGCACTCCGGGTCCAGGCAGGAGGGTGCTGCCATGCACACAAGCCCACGTATGTTCCCCTGTGTGCTACACACTGGCATGCATAGTGTACTTACGCAGACTTGGTGGGAGAGGAGGCACAGGGTGGGTGTCCACGCAGCACCACCACTGAGAGGGGCTCAGGGAAGAGCCCAGGGACACTGGCCATGCAGTCAGGTTCAGGGTGCTGTTCAAGAACTTGCAGTCCACTTGAGTGCTCACGTCTGCTGGGGTCAGCCGACGGGGGGAAGGGCCCCATCTGTGAGGAACTGAGACAGGGGAGGTAGTATTGAAGGGATGTAGTGATGGGAACAAGACATCTGTGGACAGAGGAGCTGATCCATGTGTGGGACGGAAACAGAAGCCAGAGATAAGCCTTGTTTTCTGTAGCGTTGTTACAAAGTCAGAACTAACATCGTGAGCCAGTGGGAGGGCGGTTCACGACTGTTAGTAAACAGGGCTGGGTACCACAGGCAGGCCCCAAGTGGGAGCGCCTGGTGTGACTGGTGCCTTCTCGCTTCTGAAGGAAAGCGTGGCAAAGATGGGCATCGCGAGCAAAGCGGAGATCGAGGATTGGTTCACAGCTGAGACCCTGGGGGTGTCTGGGTAAGAGCAGACCCTGGCTAAGAAGAGGAAGTGTGTACCCCACCCCCTTGCTGCAGGCAGGGTCAGCCATGACTCTCTGTGAACCCTGGGGCATCTTGTAATCCTGGTCTCCTCCCTGAGAGCATGGGGCCTTGGGGGGTAGGGGATGGGTGACAGTGCAGAGAACTCCTTCCCTGAGGCACAGAGCACCATGGGGAGGAAACACGGCCCGCACGTGCATGTGATGGGCCTGCCCCTGCAGCAGCTCCGTTGACCGTGTTGGTCACCTCACGCTGCTCCAACAGAAGATACCACAAATGGTGGCTTGAGTGAACAGGAGCTTATTCACTTACAGTTCAGGAGGCTAGAAGTCCAAGTTCAAAGTGCCAAGCTCTAGGGGGTGGGTGAAAGCCCCTTGACCTTGGGCATCAGCTCCGCCTCTTGCTCCCGGCCTACTGAAGTTGGAGGCTTTCTTCACTCAGGCAGCTGCTGGCTGCTGAGGCTGACAAACCCAAGGTCGACAAGTGAAATGGCACAGTCCCCATGTTACCACACCACACGGCAGGCCACTGCTTCAAGTCCATTAAGAGTCGCGAGATCGGCAGACAGCATGGCAGGTGCTGAACGACGCCTGGGCTACATGCCAGGTTCAAGTGTAGAGAAAGCCGCAGACCATTCCTAAGGCTTCTCCTTGTATACTGGGAGCAGACCGCACCCCTAAGGCAGCTACTCAGCTACTCAGCTGCTCACCGTAGATCCCACCGTGGAGCTGATTGCCAGCAGTGGGGAATTACCACATCCAGCTGCCCAGCCAAGTTGACACGTAACCTTAACTACCACAGCCCCTAAACCAGGCAGGGCTCCTTACAGAATCATTCAGGCCCCAGCACAAGGTGGGAGGTGAAGGAAGCCAGGGAGGCTGAGCTGCCAGGCTGAGGCTGGGCCCGAGGTCACCTGGGCCTGACCCCTTCAGTAGGATCCCCCAGTTGAATCAAGGAGGTGGGTTCAGGACAGGGCAGCGAGGTTCCAGGGCCAGCAGTGTGGCGGTCGCCATGATGTGCCATCCCCTTGGCTGGCCCACTGCCATCTCTCCAACACCATCCACAGTGACGGCTATGGAGCAGCTGCCCCCCCCCCCCCCCCCCGCCTTACTCTCTCCCTGCACTCAGGTGTCCCTGGTTCGTGCCTGGCCGTACGTTTGTAGCCAACATCCTGTCCCAGGAGTGATCTGTGTTTCCTGTTTTTCCTTTCTCAACAGAGTGCAGTGTTTACGTTTTGTCTTTTATAACTGAATACTGGAGGGGGTTTTATTCTGCTTGGAGTTGAAGGTGCTCTTTTAGGGAATGGGGCTGGTTTGGGGGCCCAGGGAAAGCTGGCGGCCAGACCCAGCCACCCTCCCCGTGCCACCATGCCTGCCTCATGGCGGGTGGCGTCTTCTCACCTCAGCACCGTGGACCTGCTGGACTGGAGCAGCCTCATCGATGGCCGGACCCAGCTCTCCAAGCACCTGGTGGTCCCAAACCCAGAGGTAATGCCCCCACCTCTGCTTCAGCAAGTGTCGGCCCAGCAGGCTGTTTGGAGGAATGAAACGAGGCTTAGAAACTGAGGTCACCACGTGTGTCCCGCTGTTGGCCCCGGGCCCGAGGCCAGCCGTCCCTGCCAGCTCCATACAGAGGCTGTGGTTCAGGGGATAAGACCATCTGCTGGTGCATGGATGCTTGGTGGGCCCAAGACCAGGCAGAGCTGGGGTGCCACATGGGGTGGCTGCTGGGTTGAGCGGGGGATCTAGGAGGCCCTTCCTAGCATGGTGTCTGGTGATTGATCATCACATCCAGGTCGCCCCACATTTACCCCACATTCTGATGTGAAACCACAACTACTTGTATTGTTACCCTTCACGCTGCTGGGTTGCCAGGGCTTAGCTGGGCAGTTCTTATGCAGGGCCTTGCGGATGGTTTCATTCAGGTGGTGGTGATGGCGAGGGCCATCTCAGGGACTCACTTAGTCCCACATCTGGTGGTTGATGCTGGCTGTCAGCTGGGACCTCAGTGGCTGGATTCCCAGGGCAAGTGTTCCAAGAGAGAGGCAGGCAGAAGCTCTGTCACCTTTTCTAACCTAGTCTCAGAAGTTACACGGTATCAAGTTTGCTGAATGCTGTTTGTTAAAAGTGAGTTACTAAGGGTTACTTGGTATTCAGAGGAAGAGGCAACGGATTCCAGATGTTGCTGGGAGGACCAAGTCGCAATGGTGACAGCTAAGCTGGGGTTTAAAGAATCAGTGGAAGTGCATTGGAAAACTGTTGTCCTGCAGACACTGGTAGCATAGTGCCTAAGGCACTTGACTGCTAACCAGAAGGCTGGAGGTTCAAACCCACCAGCCACTCCTCGGAAGGAAGTTGGGCAATCTACTTCCGTAGTGATACTGCCTCGGCAACAAAAGGAGGGGTCTCTATGAGTCGGGATGGACTCGACAACACACAACAACAACAGCAGCAGCAGACACTGCCTTCCACAGTATTTCCAGCCTAACAGACTGAGAGCCTTGCCCCCAAGCTTTGAGCCATTGACTTGGGGTCCTGGAGCATAGCATGGACAGTGCAGTCCCTGCTTGAGATGAGCATCCTCTGGAGACTTAAGGACATGCATGGCCAAGGATAAACCTGTCTGGCTTGAGCCCAGCGGGGCAAGGCTATGGAGGACTGAGGATGGTCCTTGGAAGGCACCCTGGGGGCACTCTGGACAGTGTGGACAGACGGGCGGGGTGTGTGGAGGGCAGGACAGCGCCTGCAGCCTCTGAGCATGCGCTCACTGCTGACGGGTTGGCTCCTTGAAGGCCCTGCAGCTCTGGCCAGTGCCAGGTCCCCGCTGCATGTCAGGCTGTACTGCACGGCCACCCATGTCAGCAGGCAGCAGGTTCTTCCTCCCAAGCCCTCCCTATTCCAGGCTGAGCCCTCTGGTTGATCGGGTGGTTGAGGGTTCACTCCTTATCACTGAGTGGGAGCCCCTCCTACAGCCCAGTTGCTGGGGACAGAGCTGGGTGTCCCGAGCCTGGGTGTGGCCCCAGGGCTAGTGTGTGGTGTTTCCACGCTCTGGTGTGAAGATGCTAGGAGTTGTTGGGAGGATACTTACATGAGTAGGGAGCTGCAGGGTGGATGCTGTTAGGAAGAGGGCGCTAAGAGCAGGTGCAGGGGGGGTCCGGAACAATGAGAGCACTGAGCAGGGGACCAGGCGGACATACCACCAGCCAGACAGGTGAGGCTTGGCCCCCTATAGCAAAGGCTGAAGATGCCAAGTGGGTGCCAAGTAGGTCTGGGCACACAGTCTGGGGACAGCACTGCTATTGTGGGTGTGTGGGGTGGGGCACCCAGGGGCAGGTGCCTTTGAGGAGACTGCTGACCCAGCCCTGGAGCCCAAGGGGAGGGCAGCTACTTGTGCCTTGGGAACTGAGGGAGCACCGAGGTGGCTGGGGAGCAGATGCCTTGGCTCACAGGCCTGACCAGGGCCCCGGGCCAGCTGCAGTGGGCATCCCCCCGGTGCAAGGAAGGCCCCGCCCGCACTGGTCTCGTAGGATCCTGCGTGTGGGACAGGGTGCAGGTCGACGCCAGGGTCTGGGCTTCTGCAGCCAGAGATCTTCGCAGGAGAGCAGGGATGAGGTGGCGTCCCTAGGCCTGGGGACCGGGAACCAGGCGATCGGAGGGGGCGCCCTCCCCCCCCTGCCTGTGGTGTCAGGGTGTCCATGGGCAGGAGGAGTGGCCGGCCGAGCTGCCCATGGCTCAGCTGCGTGCCGCCCCCAGACAGGGCAGCTGGAGCCTCTGCTGTCGCGGTTCACGGAGGAGGAAGAGCTGCAGATGACAAGGTTGCTGCAGAGGATGGACGTCCTGGCCAAGGTCCTGCCCCAGCCCCAGAGGCCGGGCAGTGGGGGTCCCACTCGGGGCGGAGGGCTGGGGCGCCAGGACCCTGGGACTCACACGGAGGGTTAGGGCAGCCAGGGAGTGGGGAGCCTACCTCACTCAACTCACACACGCATTCTCTCCCCCACCCTTTGCACCTTTCAGAAAGCCACAGAGGTGGGCGTGCGGCTGTTGGTAGACGCCGAGCAGACCTACTTCCAGCCGGCCATTAGCCGCCTGACGCTGGAAATGCAACGCAGGTTCAACGTGGAGCAGCCGCTCATCTTCAACACGTTCCAGTGCTACCTGCGGGTGCGGCCTGGCCCTGTGCCCCGTCTGCTGGCCCCAGGGCTCAGCGCTAGCCCTTCTGGCAGGACAGCCCCCTAGGAGGGATGCCCCTTATCTGAGCTCTTAGAGGGTGGCTCCATTCTGGGCACAGGCTCGGGGGCTTGTGGGCCGGACGGAACAGAGAGTGAGCCGCACCTCTGAGGGTCTTTGTCGGCAGCAGAACCCAGCCTGGGTCGGGCTCTGGGTCCCAGACAGGCCCCACCCCAGGTCCCCAAGTAGACTCCACCTGGGAGCACATGGGTGCACGTCCCTACAGCCCAGGGAAGCCCTGGACGGAGCAGTTTCGAAGTGGGGGTGCTGGGTGTCCTGAACGGGCTATCTGCATGGCTCACCCAGTCTGGCACGCTGACCTTTGGCCTGGCCCCAGCAGGATGCCTATGACAATGTGACCCTGGATGTGGAGCTGGCTCGCCGTGAGGGCTGGTGTTTCGGGGCCAAGCTGGTACGGGGGGCCTACATGGCCCAGGAACGTGCCCGTGCCAAGGAAGTTGGCTATGAGGACCCCATCAATGCCACATACGAGGCCACCAGTGCCATGTACCACAGGTAGGTTTCATCTGCCAGGAGGAGATGGGGAACCCCAGGGTGGGCAGTGAGAAAACGGGGCCTTGGAGGTCTTGAGGGAAACGTCATACTTAGTGACGGTCTTGACAGGACAGACTCTGGAGCCCTTGGCACTGGGGGTACTGCAGGAGCATTAGGGGAGCACTGGGAGGGTGCTTACTGGGGCACTGAGGGAGCGTTGGGGGCACTGGGAGAACATTGTGGGTGTCCTGGGGGCACTGGGGGAGCACTGGGAGGGCATGGGGGGCACTAGGGGCTCTGGGGGAGCAGCCCAGCAGGAACTCATGATGCGCTGTCCTCTGCTTTTGTTTCTTGGGTTCTACATTTTCAGCACCATGAAGGGTTTTTCATATCGTTCAAAAGAGAAGGAGCCCAGCTCACAATCCCACCCCTTACCTGAGACCTCCAGGGAGCTGGTTCCATGTGGTCCCCCCTTTGACCACACGGAGGCGCACTGTCCACTTGGTTCGCGCTCCTTGGAGCAGTCCTGCAGCTGTTCCTGGCCATGTGAGGCCCCCACTGGGAGCTGAGCTGGAGTGAGCCTGTCTCCAGTTTTGCTATTATAAATGGTGCTCCGCCCAGCCAGCAAGCGTGTAGGGCCGTATTGCCTGTGAGCGCACTCGCTGGGGGGTATTATGCTGTAGGACACAGTCCCAGAAGCTGCCTCTGCCGCCTGTCCCCACCCACCACCTCAGCTGGTTTGAGTGATTCCTTTCACTTGAACAAAAGTGCCCGTCTCTGTTGAGGGCAGCCTTCTTTCTCGGTGAATGATCTAGTTTCAGCTGTTGCTCATTTTCTCCTGGTTGTTGATCTGTCTTAATGATTTCTTGCTGATTGTCTTGCTGATTTCTATGTCTGATGGGTAGCAGATGGCTTTGCCCCTTTGTCCTGATGCTGTGGGCCCTGTGGGCCTCCCGGAGGCCTCTTGCTGAGCGACTGGCTGAGTGCGGGGCTGACTGGAGCCGGGCTCACTCAGGCATCTCCCCAGGTGCCTCAACTACATTCTGGAGGAGCTGAAACACAATGCCAAGGCCAAGGTGATGGTGGCTTCCCACAATGAGGACACGGTGCGCTTCACACTGCAGAGGTAGGGGTGTCCCTCCTGCAGCCCTGGCTGCAGTGGTTTCCCTGTTTATGGGGTCACTGGTGGTCCAGGTGTGCCCTGGGTGGGGGGTGTGGGATGCCCTCAGGGAGAAGGCCCCGATGGCTCACTGCAGGACCAAAGAGCCTGACTGCAGATACTTGGTTTTCAATATCAATACCCGATTTATTAAAAGTTTCAAGTTCAAAAATAAATTTCATTAAGCATGTTAAATAGCTTATTGCTACAGACAGATATGGTACTAAATCTCACACTAATTCAGGAGACCTCCAAAGTGTTGCGTCATTTCTAAACAATTTTCTTTAACATTTAAAACTGGGTTTGGAATTGCATATATTCCATTTTCTCTTCAAACACCTGTCCTGTGAGACAACTTTGTCTGGTAGTGTTTTGGTTCTTTCAACAACATAGATACACCTATACATGCACATACCTTCCTATACACATACATGCATCCAAAATCTACCTGCATAACTACGCACATATTTTTTGGCTGTTTTCTTCTGTTCCTGAAAAACCGTTTGTTATAGCATTTACTCAAATTGTCCTTTCAGTGTTCTTAGTGTTTTCATTTAACCTGGTCAAGTTGTGCCGACTTCACTCAGATTTGGGGTTTCCTTTCCCATCACCAAAAGTAACAAGTGTCCATTATCTAGAAAGTGATTCACCCTTGTTCTCCTTCTCATTCCTGGTAACCATCAAATAACTTTTATGTGTGTACATCTATTCTTGACTTTTTATAAAAGTGAGAACATACAATATGTCTTTTTGTGCCTGACTTATTTCACTGAGCATAATATCCTCCAGATTCATCCATGTTGTTTAATGGATTCATTATTCTTTATAGTTGCACAGTATTCCATTGTATGTATGTACCACAATTTATTTATCCATTGATCTGCTGATGGGCACTTATTTTGTTTCCATCTTTTTGCTATTGTGAATTATGCTGCAGTGAACATAGGTGTGCATATGTCTATTCGTGTCACTGCTCTTACATCTCTAGGATATATACCTAGAGGTGTGATTTCTGGATCATAAGGTATTTCAATTTCTAGCTTTTTGAGGAAGTGCTATATACTGTTTTCCATAGTGGTTGTACCATTTTGCAATCCTACCGGCAGTGTATGAGAGTGGAATTCCCGCACAACATTGCTAGCATTTACTATCTGTTGATCATTGCCATTTTTGCAGGGCTGAGATGGTATGTCATTGTACTTTTGATTTGCATCTCTCTAATGGCTAATGATTGTGAGCATCTTTTCATGTATCTGTTGGCTGCCCAAATGTCCTCTTTGGTGAAATGTCTGTTTATGTCTTTTCCCCATTTTTGATTGGACTTTTTGTCTCTTAGTTGTTGAGTTATTGACGTTTTCTGAATATTTTCGAGATTAGACTCTTGTCAAATATGTCATTGCCAAAGTTTATTTTTCCCCTAAGTCCATAGGTTCTCTTTTCTCTCTTGGTAAAGTCTTCTGATGAGTGTAAGTCCATTTGGCTTTGCTTATTTTCCTTTTTCTTCCGCTGCCCCTGAGATTTGATTTTGATTGCTTTGTCCTCTAGGTTCTTTCTTCTGCCAGCTGTTAAGATCTTCTAATATATTTTTATTATATTTTTCAGCTCCAATATTTGGTTACATTTTATAGTTGCTGTCTCTTTATTGAAATTCTTATTTTCTTTTCTGATTTCCTTCAGTCCGTTGTCTGTTTTCTTTTAGTTCTTTGAGCGTGTTTCATATTGTTTTAAAGTCCTCTAGTGCCAGTTACCAAGCTTCCGTAGACCTCATTTCTCTCTGTTTTGTCTTTCATTTGGGCCATCCTTTCCAGTTTGTTTATGTGTTTTGTATGGCCTTGTTATTTGTTGTTGAAACTGGGACATTTGAATAAGATAGTAAAATTGAAGTTCATATTCTTCTCCTTCCACAGGCGTTGTTTTTGTCCCCCCCCCCACCTTAGTGGTGAAGACTGTAATAGTCCATGTGTTCAGCAACCTCTGTTATACTGAAGAGACTGCTTCCCAAATGTGCATGATTATCAAGGGCTCTGGCCCAGAGTCTGTGTCACCCTAGTGTTTTGAAGGTGATTTTCTTACTATTCTGGGGGAAAAAAACAAACAGCAGAATATTAAAAAAAATGTCTGATTCTCCCACTGCTGCAGTTGACTCCAAGTTAATTTTTTCCCAGTGTGTGTTCCAGTTCTGTTATCACTTGGCCCGAGTGATTCCACCAGAGGGCATATTGACCATTTGAGTCTACAATCTGCTGCAGCAAAAGGGTGAAAATCTCTGCAGTTGTCTGAACCTGTCTTTCAGTGTACCGCCAGAGCAACCCTTCTGTGCAACCCCACAATCTTGGGGAAGGGGAACAAATGTCCCAGTGCTCAGCCAGACACTAGCCTGCCTCCTCTAGTAACACAGCCACCATCCCCATCTGCCTGGCAGAGCTGAGAAACAGGATGGTAGCCAGTTGGTACATGTGATTCACCTCAAAAAGCAGCTTAACCCTTCATTAAGTCCATTCTTGGTTAAGTGTCTGATCTATTTCCAGAGTCTCCAAGTAGTTCTCAGTGCTCTTTCCTGGACAATAGATGGTTTGGTGGAGGGACAGGCCTTTGTTGTGGTGGTCAGGTGCCATCAAGTCAGCCCAGACTCATAGCGACCCTGTGTACAACAGAACAAAATGCTGCCCAGTCCTGTGCCAGCCTCGGGCCGCTAGTAATTCCTAGAGAGCATTTTGCATAACTACACTTTGCTTTTAAAGTTCTAACGTTTGCAAGAAACTCCCATCAGCCCTTCTCCTTTGGCCTTCAGAAACCTCCTGTTTGCTTCAGTCATGGTCATTATTTTCAGGTGAGTAAGGGCCTGTTCTGGCTCCCTTCTTCCTCTCAGCCCCGCCTGGAAGGCTGGCTATTTCCGGAGGATGGTGCCTCCTCAGTCCTTCAGGCATCCTCAGATAGATAGGAAGAATCACACACAGCGTCGGCCAGAGCAGCAGTGTATTCCTCACCTCCCCAGCCAAAGGGGAGCACGGTTTTCAGTTGACAACCCGCTACCCCATGTCCTTCACAACCCTGCTACCAGAGGCAGGAAGAGGGAAAAGCATGTATGATGGACAGAGTTCCTTACCATTGATGTTGCCTTATTCTTGCCTCATTGTTTGCTTAGGTGCTGTGACTCTGGTTTCTAGAAGTCTGAGTCTGTTGGTTCCCTTACATTATTTTTTTTTTCCCCAGTGGGAGGATGGGAGTGTTCAGTTGCCTATCTGCCGTTTTGCCTCTCACTCCAATCCCATGTAAAAATGATGAAAATACAAAGAAATTAAAATATAAGGCTTATTCTGAGCAGTTACTCTATCTATGTATAGGGAGACCATTCTGATTCCCCAAAAAAAGCCAGTGGCTTGAAGTTTGCTAGTTAACAGTGAAGATTATAATGAGGAAAGAATAGACTATCAACCACTGCCTCATCTTAACACTGACTGATTGAACCCTGCCCTCCTGGATTTACTGGGACCAACTGGTAATAGATTATGTCTGGCCTGACTGCTAATACTCTGGGCCTCCAGATTTCTGCTCCTATGAGATTTTTTAAGATTTAAATTGGGAAAGCCTAGAGGCTTTTTTTAAGGAGCTGATGGTGTAGATATGGCTGCTAGCCAAAAGGTCAGTGATTCCAACCCACCAATTGCTCCAGGAGAAAGATGAGACAGTCTGACTCTGGAAAGATTGACAGCCTTGGAAACCCTGTGAGGTAGTTCCACTCTGTCCTACAGGGTCGTGAGGAGTCAGAGTTGACTCACAGGCAGTGCCCCCCAATCACAGCAGGCAGGGGTGGTTTTGCCACCCCCCCTTTGCTGCAGGAAGACAGGCTTAAATTGCTGTAGAGCAGTTTCAGACAGGCTTTTTAAGGTTATATTTGGTTTCATGGGTAAGAAAAACCTTAACATAAGTTGTGTTATTAATTTTCCTCTCTAACACTCGTAACAAACTTTAAAAGCATTAACTGACTCCTGATTTCTGACTCTTCCCATTGCGATATTCTCATTGTGCTGGTGGATGCCCCGGCCTCCTTGTCGACGCAGTCCCTCCTTTCCTCTGAGTGGCAGCTGAACTTATTCTCAGCCTCCCATGCCCGCACCAGACCTGAGGGCTGACCCCTCCATGGGGGCCCTTCACAAACACCATTACCATAGTCATGTTCTGAGAAGGGTGGGTGGAGCAGGCAATGGTTCTGTGGGCCTGCTCAGGATGGCAGGGGAGCCTCCAAGCAGCCTGAGCCTGCCTGCCCGTGGGAGGCCCTTCTGGATCTCTGATGGTGGGGACTGGTCTGCCTTCTGCCCAGTTCAGGCTGCCATGCTGCACATTCAAAGATCTCCGCCAAACAGCCTTATGCTAGCTTTCACTGAGTAACAAACCAGTCGGAAATTTAGAAGGTTGAACAACGTGTTGTGTGTGATGTAATGTGGGCTGGACCCAGCAGGCTGCTGCTTCCACTGGCCTTACCCGGGGTCCTTCCTGTATCTGCAGTCCACTGGGGATGTCAGGTGGGCACTGGATGGTCCTAGATGGCCTAACTCATGGCTGGGGCAACAAAGGCAAATGCAACCCTGGCTTCATCACACGGCAGTCAGAATCCCAGAAGCACTGGGAGGGGGCAAGCTTTTGCTCGTATCACGTCTGCTCTTGTCCTATTGGCCAAAGGAAGTCACGAGGCCAAGCCCTGGTGAAGACTCACTCTGCAACTGGATGAACTGTAGTCATCTGGCAGAGGGGCATGGACGCCGGCAGGGGGGAGAAGTAGCATCTGTGGAGGCTCCCACACAAACACCCCTACCACAATCTGCTCCTTCAAGACAGCAGCAGCTCAAGCACTCGTGGGTCACCGTGACAGAGACCAGTGCTCCTTCAGTTTTAGTGGCCCTGCCATGAGAGTCTGGCCCCAAGGGAAGGAGAGGAAGAGCCAAGGAGCCCTGTACGGCACCTATAATACATTGGTCCGGGGGGAGACAATGCTTAGTACTTTGGGCATGTGGGGGGGCCGGGGGCCCTGAGACAGGGTAAGGACCGGGAGCTAGACGGTTTTGTGTGTGTGACAGACAGAGAGAGAGAAGGCTGGGTGGGGGCTGAGGAGGACCCAGGCTAAACAGTCTTCTGGGTGGGGGATGGAAGGCTGGGAGAAGGGTGCGCTCCGCAGTCCTGGACAGAAATACTAAGTCTGGATCCGTGGATATGAGCAATAGGAGATTGAAATGTGAGTTGCTATGGTTGTTAGGTGCTGTAACGGGGGTTGTTACTGTTAGGTGTTGTCGAGTTGGTGCCGACTCCTGGTGGCCCTACATGTGCGACAGGGTGAGACGCTGCTGGGCCTGCGTCCTCCGCGCCGTACCTGCCATGCTCGCCCATCACTGCAGCCACTGTGTCAGTCCATGTTGTTGAGGGGCTTCCCCTTTTCCGTTCACCCTCTATTTTACCAAGCGTGATAGATACCCTTCTTCACGGACCTGTCGTTTCTGACAGTATCACTAAACTACGTGAGATGTAGTGTGGCCATTCTCGCTTCTCAGGAGCATTCCAGCTGTACTTCTTCCGAGTCAGTTAATGCTTCAGGCAGTCCGTGGCATTTTCAGAATTCTCTGCCAACACCACAGTCCAAATGCATCAATTCTTCTTCGGTCTTCCTTATTCATTGTCCAGCTCGCGTAGGAGGTGAATGAAAGATCCTACAAGGGAAGGTGTGACAATAGAAGGGGGCTAGAGTTGGGGGTCCACATCCCAAAATACGAGCAGTGCTGCCCAGTAGAAATATAACGTGAGCCACGTTGGTAACTAAAATTTTCTAGTAGCCACATTAAAAAAGATGAAATTCCAGTAACACAGTTTATTTAATTCAATACATCTGCAATATTACTATCTCAACATGCATTCGCTATTTTAAGAAAGTAGTGAGAGAGGCTGCCCTGCCTTTTATGATGAGCTAGCTCTTGAACGTGGTGTGTGACGACGCCTGCAGCACATTGGTTCCGAGCAGCCGTGGCGCCCGGCAGCCACCATCTAGAATGCGCAGCTTTGGAGGCTGGGCAGAGGAGAAACTGGCAAAGGGGAGGACGGGCCAAGCAGAACCCCAGAGGGGCTTGAGCAGGGGGAGCCTGGTGCCGGGTCGAACGGGCAGCCAGCGGGGGCTAAGGAGACTTCTTGGTGAGCGGTCAAGGACCTTGGGGTGGGTGGTGGATAGATGCCTCAAGGTCACCTAGCACCTGAGGAGGGAGGCCGAAGAGGTGTGGGGACAGGCTTGGGGGAGGAGGGGCCCTTGCTGGCCACAGGCCACATCCCTCGGCTGTCCAATCCATCTGCACCCAGCTCTAGCTGACAGCGGCCTCCCTCAGAGAGAAACTGCCTAGGCGGGGGAGAGGCATCTAGTCCGTGGAGGGCACTCCAGGATGGGTGCTGTTGGGAAGAGTCAAGCCTATTTCACTTCAGGAGGCGGCTAGAGTGTATAGATGAGGGTGTGTGGGGGTTGGCAGCAAGGACCTGGGGCTAAGCCAGCAAGGAGCTCTGTCCTCCATCCTGGTGGGCAGTGTCCGGGGGCTGCCCCGGTCCTCTTGGTACCCTCTCCTGGCCCCTGAGCACCTGCTCTTCCCTGCCCACAGGATGGCGGAGCTGGGCCTGCACCCTGCAGAACACCAGGTGTACTTCGGACAGCTGCTGGGCATGTGTGACCAGATCAGCTTCCCGCTGGGTGAGCGAGGCCCTCCCCGGGTCGTGGGGGGGTGGGATGGCGTGGCAGCTCGCTCAAGGACCTGGATTCACCCTGTACCTGCCTGTGTGCACGCAGGCCAGGCGGGCTTCCCCGTGTACAAGTATGTGCCCTACGGCCCAGTGATGGAGGTGCTGCCCTACCTATCGCGCCGCGCCCTGGAGAACAGTGGCATCATGAAGGGGGCCCAGCGGGAGCGGCAGCTGCTGCGGCAGGAACTCACCCGGAGACTCTGCACGGGCAGCCTCTTCTACCGCCCGGCCTAGAGCCCCGCCCATCACCACCACCCCTGACCCCGCTTCTGGGCTCCCACCGCTGTGTCCCAGGCTCCCTGGGCCGGCACCAGGCCCTGCACCACTCACCAGAGCTGCCTCCTAGGACCCTCAGGCCAGGGCAGTGGCTCAGAGGTGGGGTCTGGGCTTTCCTGCCACACGCCCACGCTCTAACCCCAGCACCAAGTAGCCTGTGTACATGCAAGACCTGCTGGATGTGGGGCTTAGGGTCAGAGCTGCCCTCAGGAACATAGGCACTTGGGCAGGGGCCAGGAGTATGATACCTGATAAAGCCATTGGGGCCCCTACACCTTCTGCCAGAGTGTGACCCACACACCCTGAGCCGTGAGCTGGGCAGTGGCCAGTCTGAGCAAGCCCATCTGCTCAATAAACTACTGTTTCTACAGCTGTGACCTGTGACTATGTCCTTGGCCTACTTTGCTGTGGTATCCTCACGTTTTGGTCCTCTAGTGCCACTCTAACAGAAGATACCACAAATGCGTGGGTGGCTTTTAACAAACCAGGATCTTTCTCTTCAGTTTTGGAGGCTAGAAGTATGAGTCAACGTGCCAAGCCCTAGGGGCTGAGTAAAGGCCCCTCTCAGCCGTGGTTCAGCTCTGCCCTTGCTCCCGGCCCACTGGAGCTGGAGGCCTCTCTTCACTCAGGCAGCTGCTGGCTGCTGAGGCTGACAAACAAAATGGCACAGTCCCAAGATTACCAAACAATACGGCAGGCCACTGGCGCAAGTCCAGAGACAGTCCCAAGATTGGCGGGAAACATGGCTGGCTGCTGAACGAAGACGCAGCTACGTGCAAGGTCCAAACGTGCCAAACAGCTACAGAGGCCTTTGCCAAAGCTTTTTAGATACTGGAAGCAGAACACATCCCTAAGCCAGCTACTCAGGCTGCTCCAGGAGATTCCACCATGGAATGATTGCCAGTCTCACCATGGAGAATAACGACATCCAGCTGCCCAGCCAGTCAAAACCAGGCCCGAGCCAAGTTGCCACACGACTACCGCACCTCACATGGGGTCAGTCTGGGGCAGCAGAGGGGAGGGGCTCAGTGGGGCTCCCTGGGAAGTTCCACCTTCTGGCCCTGGCCCCCCAGTATCATTTGTTCTGGAGGTCGGGGCGATGGCGGGTTAGGGGGCAGCCCTGCCAATCCCTGCCCTGTGTCTGCAGTACAGACCTGGCCACCCAGGGTGCTGGGCTCTGCTGAGTGCTTCCGGAGCAGGCAAGGTGGTGCTGGCCCAGCCTCCTCCTGCCCCCTGCCCTGGTCAGGACAGAGCAGATGCCTTAGGTCTCCAGGGCAGGCCTCGGAGCTTGCCCTACCTTGCCCTCACCTCCCACCTCCGGGCTACTTCTCTCCCTGGAACCCTCCCTGCTCCTCAGTGCGTTTCGCCCCGGCACCACAGGAATGCGCACTAGGCTGTTTCTGCTCCAGCAGGCCACCAAGGGGGCCTGGGGCTGCCACCAGCTGCCTGCCTGTGCCACCTGGCCTCTTCCTGTCCTCTCCAACCACCCAGCCCCAGAAAGAGCAAGTTACATGTGGGCTGTGTACCCTGGGACTCAGTGGGAAGACCTGCGTGGACAGTGGCAGAGTGTTGTGGGACCAAGGCTGGGGCAGGAAAGTCTGGGCGGCTCCCAGTCCTGGGGGGAAAAGTCGTGGAACCAGGCATGTAGGCGCAGGCGCAGGCAGTCCCAGGCAGGGGCCTCTGCCGCACCATGGCCGCACCGGGGGTCGTGCCTGGCAGCATTCCCAGCTGGCTCCTCTGGGGGCCAGAGAGCCACCAGGTGAGTGCTCTACTTGGCCCCAGTCGTGGCATGCACCACAGAGTTGTCGCAAACCCTGTGCAGGTCACACTGAGTCTTTATTTCTCCGGGCCACACAGGGCTGGGGCCTTAGAACCTCCCTAATGCAGAGCTACAGCTGCCAACGGAGAGGGCAAGGCCAGAGCAAGAGGCAGCTTGGTGCCTGGGCAAGGTCGGGCAGTGCCCAGTGGACTGAGACGGTGTTGGAACCCCACACTCCACTCGGCCCTGGGGCAGACAGCCAACAGGCAGGGCTCTTTCCCCTTCACGCCACCACCCTTGATTCTGGGCAAAGGTGGATGGCAGACACAGACAAGCTGGGAAGAAGGTGACGAGATGCCAGGAAGATAAGCTCCACGCGGGTCAATGCTGCCCGTGGCGACAGTGGGCCAGGCTGCCGTCCCGGCCAGGCTGGCCGTGGGGGCCGCTCACAAGCCTGCCTTCCCCGCCTGGCAGCCCTGCTGCTGCAGCTTCCGGATGAGTTCCAGCAGGTTCATCTGCAACGCCAGCTCCTGGGCCAGCAGAGAGTCCCCTGTGAGGGCCCGAGTCACACTGGGCCCCTTGGGTCCCAGCCCAGGCCTCAGAGGCTGCCTTTTCCCAAGGGGTCAGAAAGAGGTACTGGGGCCCTGAGGGCAGGAGGAGACGAGATGACTGGGCTGACTTCTGGCTGCAGGGGCGGACCCTGGGCTTCAGCCCTGGCTCGGGGCGTACAGAGGGATGTGCGGAGGGAGGTGGGAGCATCCCTGTGGCCGGCTGGCTCCCCTTCCTTCAGGCAGCGCCCCTTCCTGAGTCTCATTCTATCCCCTCACCCCTTACCCCGACCCAAGCCTGGGCCTGCACCCTCGCCGACCAGCAGCGTCTGGTCAGGCCGGGGCGCTGACCTGTGGGTTGCTGGTGACGTAGAAGCCGGCGACACCCGCCTTCTCCAGCGTGCTCTGCTGGTCCGCCACCTTCCGGTCCAGCTCCAGGACGATCTTCTCATCCATCCGGCGCTGCTCCTCCCGGATCCGGTGCTCCACGGCCTGCCGCACGAGGGCACCCGAGCCTGGCTCTGCGGGCTCAGCCCCTGCCCACTTGATAATGCCGCCGACCCAGGGCCCCCTCCCTACCTGATAATGCCGCCAACCCAGGGCCCCCTCCCTACCTGATAATGCCGCCAACCCAGGCTGCTGGCGGCCACCTTCCTCCCCGGTCCCCTGGCCTCACCTGCTCAGCCCCTGCCCACCTGATAATGCCACCAACCCAGGGCCCCCTCCCTACCTGATAATGCCGCCAACCCAGGCTGCTGGCGACCACCTTCCTCCCCGGTCCCCTGGCCTCACCCCGTTGGCAGCAGCAGCCCTAAGACTACCCATGGTGGCTTTACTACCCCCAAGCCTCCTCCTCTTCCCTCGGCCACACTAAAGAGGGCTGAGCAGTGGCTGGCCAGGTCTCCCCCGTTCTCTGCTACACTTTAGGAGGCTCCTGGCGAGGTGGCCTAGGGCTGGGCCACTGACAGGGCTTGGGACCCTCCCCTGGGCTTCCCCTAGTCCCTAGCTGCCCTGGTACCTTGCACACAACTCTCTCGGGGACCTCCCCTCTTACCCCTGTCAGTTACATGCTGTTTCCCAGGGTGACCCACTGTGTGACCTTAGGGCCCGGCACTGACCAGATAGAGTCAGCACTCGGAGTTGGCTGGGGTGCACGGGCCCCTGCCTGGGTGTTCCTGTCACTCTAGTATTGCTCTTGCACGCCCAAGGCTACTAGGGATGTGGGCATGGAGGAGGTCTGGGCCTACCTCATGATGCCCTCACCTCAATACCTGCTCTGGGGCGGCCAGGAGCCACTGTCGCGGGGAGCAAGTGGAGGGGAAAGGCCGCTCTCTCCCCGCGTCTCGTGTCCTTGCCCCACTTGGGGGCCTGAATGCTGTGCTCTGCAGTGAAGAGCCACGTGCGGGAACTCACCGGACGCCAGCTGCCTGCCCCAAGACGCGCCCAGCGCAGCCACCCAGGCCTGCAGACACCCTGAGTCCCTACCCCCAGCCCAGTCAGCAGAGCCCACGTGGTGCCGTGCGGAAGGGCCAGGCTCTGGCCGCACCCCTTACCTCCAGCTCGCGCTGCTGAGCCACCTGGAGCACGGGCAGGTGGTGGGGCCGGCAGCTCTGCTGGGCCTCCTCGTGCTTCTGCCGCAGCGCCTGTCTGAGCACTGTGGGCGGGAGGGCCGCTCAGCAGGCGGCGGGGCACGCCGCACGCCTCGGTGACCGCCCCAGCCGTCCGCGCCCCAGCGTCCCACCTCAGAGCAGCCAGGCCAGTGGGGCAGGGGGAAGAACCCAGGCTCAGAAGACCAAGGGGGTGGGAGGAGTCAGACTGGGTGGGAGGCTGTGGTCCGGAGGCTGCTGGGGTCAGATGGCCACAGGCTAGCACTTCCGGGCGTGTCCTGTCCCATCATTCCTGAGTACCCACAGAGCCCAGAGACCCCCCACCTCAGGCAAAAATCTAGAAGAGGGGTCACCGAACAGGGTGGAGAGCACCCACCACCCACTTTGGGGGTGGGCCAGAGCCCCCCCAATCCACCACTCCCAGCTCTCTCCTGGCAGGAGTGGAAGGGTGGGCATGGTCCCTGGGTGGCCCAAGGATGGGTGCTGGAGAATCCACCACCTCACACTGTATGTGCATACCAAGCCCACCAGATCCTGACTTGTACACTTGGGTGGCGAGATCCAGCACGGGAGACCATGCGGTCATAGGCAAAACCAGCCTCTGAGAATACAGTCATACAGGCATCACGCAAATGAAGATGATGCAATAAAAAAAAGACAGGTTTGCTGGTCTCACAGAGCCTGGTGAGACCCCTGAGACTATGGCCCTAGGTACCCTTCAGGTCTGGAACTGACCTCCTGTGGTTTCTAGCCAAACAACAGACAGGCACATGGGGTGAACATTTACATCAGACAGATACACTCCTTGGAGCAATCAATTATGGGAGAAAAGAAGGGCAGTTTGCTCAGGGGGACAGCTAAGGGAGCAGGAGTGCGTGGAGGGAAGGACACGGGAAAGACATAACTGGGGAGGAAGTGGGAAGCGAGATGCTGCACTGTGGGGAATTACAGTCAATGTCATGAAATAAAATGTGTTATGAACTGCTGTATGGAAAATGAATTTGCCTTGTAAACTTTCACCCAAATCACAGTAAATATTAGGGAAAAAAAATGAAGATGCAGCCTAAATAAATGGGACAGAGCCCACCCCTGCTGACTAGGGGATTCACTAAAATAAAAGATGATGGCAGGAAAACCTCGAGGCAAGAGAGCCCAGGGAAGCCTGGGTCCTATGAACCAACAGAGGCTCACTGTGGAGGAGTCAGTGCTGCTCAGAGAGGGCCTCACCAGGCAACGCTCCCATGTTGTTGTTGTTGTTATGTGCCGTCGAGTCATAGACCCGACTCACAGCGACCCATCCTTGGGCTTCCGAGGCAGTATCACTATGGAAGTAGATTGCCCAACCTTCCTTCCAAGGAGTGGCTGGTGGGTTTGAACTGCCAGCCTTCTGGTTAGCAGTCAAGTGCCTTAGGCACTATGCTACCAGAGCTCCTAACGCTCCCATGGTCCCTGCTAAACTATGCCAAACACAGACTTGTACATAACTGTCCCGTCTCACAGGAGTGGGCAGAGGAGAACGGTATCACGGGATGAAAAGAAACCACCATCACAAAACAAGAACATGGCCGATCAGGCATCAGAGCTCCAGACCCCTAAGTGTCAGATGGCTAACTCTCTCTGGTAAGAAGGGTCCCTGGCTGTTAGAAAGCACAAAAGCCAACACTCTGCTCCTGGGAAGAAACCTGAACCTCCAGCTGTTCTTGGGAGGGTGTGTGGGGTCTCAGTGTCAGCCACCTGGCACCAGCTGAGCCCACAGCCGCCACCTTCTTTTCCTTGGCACTCTGTATACCCCTCAACTACAGCATTTATCACATTACATGTGTTTTACTCCAAGACACACCTCCAGACATCTCCATACACAGGGATGGGAGACAGACTCCCAGTTAATACTCCGAGCTGCTAACTGAAAGGTTAACAGCCTGAGTCCACCCAGAGGTGCCTTGGAAGAAAGGCCTGGCAATTGATCTACTTCTGAAAAATCAGCCCCTTGAAACCCTGTGGTAAACCAAAGACGCATGGACGCAATCAGTCCAAGGGGCTAGTGGCCCATGGGAACCTCAGCCTGCACGGCCCTGGGACCAGAAGAATTAGTCGGTGCCTGGCTATCACTGCCAACCACTCAGAAAGGGATCAAAATTGGAGATCATGGATGCAGGGAAAATGTGGAACAAAACTCAAAATCATAAAAAAGACCAGGCTTATTGGGGTGACAGAGACTGGAAAACCCCTGAGATGGTGACTCCTACTCACCCTTTGGGCCTGGAAATGAACTCACTCCCATGGCTTAACTTTCATCCAAACAACAGTCGGGCCTATGAGATGATCAATTACACCAGGAGTGCCCTCCTTAGAACAATCAACCACGGGAGATCAGAAAGGCAGCAGGGACACAGCTCTGGAGGCAGGCATGCCCAGGAAGGAACACAGGGAAAAGGTAACCGCAGGGACAGGGAGGAATCGGGAAGAGAGCTGTTACATCGCAGGGAGTGTAATCAATGTCACACAACAAAACGCGTATGAAGTGTTGAATGGAAACTGAATTTGCTCTGTGAACTTTCCCCCAAATCACAGTAAGAAGTTAAATAAATAATTAAATAGCGACGCTATGCAGCACGGTCCTACGCTGACACCCGTGCGGCTGCCGTGAGTCAGAACTGACCTGAGGGCAGTCGGTACTTGTACAGTTACGTGGCTGCAGTGCATACAGTATGAAGGAAAAATGAAAGGACACAGATAAACACAAGGGCATTTCAAAGCTGCTTTGTTCCATTACCAGGTCAAGTCCCAGCTCCCAGCTTCTAGTGGGTAAGCAAACAGGTAAGACGGGAGCTGCCCTGGTCCTGAGGCAGAAGGGGCTGGAGTCACTGGCGACCAGGGAAGCAGAGAAAAACGAGGTCAGCCAGGCAGCACCCACTAAGTCAGCTGGGAGGACAAGGGACGCCTGCCTACTGCCGCGGCACCAAACCCGCCCAAGTTTTCTGAAGGACAAGGAGCACGTCCAGAGGGTTTCCAAGAACTCCTCCACTAAGAGGAACCATGCCTCCACGGAGAGGGGGCAATTCTAAGATTAAGGCATGGGAAGAGCGAGAAGGACCTACTTCCAACACCTTCACGTACCAGCAAGTAAGGAAGTGCCGCCTAAAGTCCTCTCCTGACCACACGTGGTACGATTTGAGCATTAAAAAGACTAATCAGAAAACTACAGACCAATGTCCCTCATGAATATAGATGCAAAAATCTTCAACAAAAAATCCTAGCCAACAGACTCCAACAACATACCCAAAAAATAATTCATTATGACCAAGTGGGGTTCATACCAGGTATGCAAGGATGGTTCAACATTAGAAAAACAATCAACGTCATCCATCACATAAATAAAACAAAGGAAAAGAACCACATGATCCTATCAATCGATGCAGAAAAGGCATCTGACAAAATCTAACACCCATTCCTGATCAAAACTCTCAGCAAAACAGGAATAGAAGGGAAGTTCCTCAACATAATAAAGGACATATATGCAAAACCAACAGCCAACATTATTCTCAATGGAGAGAGACTGAAACCGTTGCCCCTGTGAACAGGAACCAGACAAGGATGCCCAGTATCACCACTTCTATTCAACACTGTAGTGGAAGTCCTAGCCAGGGCAATAAGGCAAGAAAGCAAATCAAAGGCATACAGATTGATAAGGAAGAAGTCAAACTATCCCAATTTGCTGATCCTATACATAGAAAATCCAAGACACTAGCAAAAAAGAAAAACTACTGGAATTAATTGAGAGATTTAGCAGAGTGGTAGGATACAAGATCAGCATACAAAAATCAGTTGGATTCCTCTACACCAGCAAAGAGACTGCTAAAAAGGAAATAAGGAAATCAATACCATTTATAATAAAAACCACTGCCACTGAGTCGGGTCCAACTCATAGTGACCCCTCCTTGGGTTTCTGAGGCAGTATCACTACAGAAGTACATTGCCCAACTTTCCTTCCGGGGAGTGGCTGGTGGGTTTGAACCACCAGACTTCTGGTTAGCAGTCAAATGCCTTAGGCACTATGCCACCATTTGTTATAGCTACCAAAAAAAAAAAAAAAACTTGGGAATAAACCTCACTAGGGACACAAAAGACCTATACAAAGAAAACTATAAAATACTACTTCAAGAAACCATAAGAGATCTACATAAATGGAAGAACATGCCATGCTTGTGGATAGGAAGATTGAACATTGTGAAAATGTCAATACTACCCAAAGCAATCTATACATTCAATGGAATCCCAATCCAGATTCCATCAACATTCTTTAAGGATATGGAAAAACCAATCACCAATCTTATATAGAAAGGAAAGAGACCTTGGACAAGCAAAGGACTATTAAAGAGGAAGAACAAAAGAGGTCTCACACTGGCGGATCTCAAAACCTACTATACAGCCATAGTAGTCAAAACTGCCTGGTATTGGTACAACAGACACATAGACCAGTGGAACAGAATTGAGAACCCAGAAACAGATCCATCGGCCTGCGGTCAACTGATTTTTGACAAAGGGCTGAACTCCATTAAATGGGGAAGAGATGGTCTCTTTAACAAATGCAAAACTGGATATCCATTTGCAGAAAAATGAAACAAGATCTGTACCTCACACCACACATAAAAACTAACTCCAGAGGGATCAAAGAGTTAAATGTGAAACCGAAAACTAGAGAGTTCCTCAAGGAAAAACTAGGGGCAAATTTAGGGGCCCTAATATATGGCATAAATAGACTGTCAAGCATACCCAAAATGCACAAACAGCAGAAGAGAAACTAGATGAATGTGACCTTCTAAAAATTAAATTTTTATGTGCTTCCAAAGACTTCTACAAAAGGGTAAAAAGAAAACCTACAGATTGGGAAAAAATATTTAGCAATCACATGTCTCACAAGGGACTTATCTCTAAAATTTATCAAAAACTCCAACACCTCAACAACAAAAAGATTAACAATTCAATTCTATAATAGGCAGAAGACATGAATAGAGACTTCACCAAAGAGGATATTCAGGCGGCCAACAAACACATGAAGAAATGCTCACGATCATTAGCCGTTGTTGTTATGTGCTGGAGTCGACCCCAAGTCATAGCGACCCCTCCTTGGGTTTCCAAGGCAGTATCACTACAGAAGTAGATTGCCCAACCTTCTTTCTGAGGAGTTGCTGGTGGGTTTGAACCACCAGCCTTCTGGTTAGCAGTCAAGTCCCTTAGGCACTATGCTACCAGAGCTCCACATTAGCCATTTGTTGTTGTTGTTGTTATGTGCTGGAGTCAAACCCGACTCATAGTGACCCCTCCTTGGGTTTCCGAGGCAGTATCACTACGGAAGTAGGATTGCCCAACCTTCCTTCCGAGGAGTGGCTGGTGGGCTTGAACCGCCAGCTGTCTGGTTAGCAGGCAAGTGTCTTAGCCACTATGCTACCAGAGCTCCCACATTAGCCATTAGAGAGATGCAAATCAAAACAATGAGATACCATCTTGCCTCAGCACTAATAGCAACATTCAACAAGACAGAAAATAACAAATGCTGGTGAAGATAAGGAGAGACTGGAACTCTCATACACTGCTGCTGGGACTGTCAAATGATACAGCCACTGTGGAAAGCTGTATGGCGATTCCTTAAAAAGTTGGAATTAGAAATACCATTTGATCCAGTAATCCCATTACTAGGTATATATTCTAAAGAAGTGAGAGCCAAGACAAGAACAGATATATGCATGCCCATGTTTATCGCAGCACTATTTACAACAGCAAAAAGATGGAAACAATCTATGTGCCCATCAACAGAAGAATGGATAACCAAACTATGGTACATACACAATGGAATACTATGCAACCCTAAAGAATAACATAGAATCCGCAAAACACTGCATCATGTGGATGAACTTGGAGGACATTATGCTGAGTGAAATAGTCAATTACAGAAGGACAAATATGTATTAGTTCATTATTGTAAAAAGTCAAGGAAAGGTTTACACATGGAAGGAAACTTTCTTTGTTGGTTACCAGGGGTGGGAGGGGAGGGGAGGGAACACTGCAAAAAAAAATTAAAATTAAAATTAAAAAAAATGAAAAGAATAATCAGCTGTGTTCTTCAGGTTTGTGAACTGTATGCATTTTATACCAAAACAAACTCAATGCCATCAAGTTGATTACCCCTCACTGGGTTTCTAAGGCTATATATCTTTGTGGAAGCAGACTGCCTCATCTTTCTTCCATGGTTCAAACCACTGACCTTTTGGTTAGTAGCCAAATGCCTTAACCACTATATCTCCAATAAAAAAATTCAACAAGACAACCACCCAAACATTTAACGAAGAAATAGTATCGGTTGTACACAAAGTCTTCCAGTAAACTGAAGAGTTTTCAACTCATTCTGAGGCCGGCATTACCTCGATACCCAAACCAGACAAAGACAGAACAAGAAGACAAAACTACACATCAATATCTATCATAAACACAGAGGCAAAAATTCTCAAGATTTTAGGGAATTAAGTCCAACTTGTATGTTTTGCTTCTCTAGTGCTGCTCTAACAGAAAATACCACAAGTGGGTCACTTTAACAAATAGGGATTTATTCTCTTACAGTTTTGGAGGTTAGAAGTCCGAGTTCAAAGTGCCAGCTCTAGGGGCTGGGTGAAGGCCACTCAACCTTGGTCTTCAGCTCTGCCTCTTGTTCCCAGCCCATTGGAGCTGGAGGCATCTCTTAACTGAAGCAGCCACTGGCTGCTGAGGCTGACAAACCTAAGGTCGACAAGTGAAATGGAACAGTTTGAAAATAACAAGCAACATGGCAGGCCACTAGTTCAAGTCCAGAAACAGTCCCAAGCAGACCACGTTCCTAAGCCTCACAGTTGCTCACAGTAGATTCTACCATGGAGTTCATTACCAGTCTCATCATGGGGAGTAACTACATCCAGCTGCCCAGCCACTCAAAACCAGGCCCAGCCAAGCTGACATATAACCTTAACCACCACAGTGTATAAAAAGGGTAATATATATCACAGCCAGGTTATGATTTATCCAAGAATGCAGTTTATCCTAGAAATTAAAAAAAAAAAAAATGTAATTCACCATATTAACAGAACAACCACATGATCACCTCAATAGATGTAGAAAGAGAACTTGACAAAATCCAGTATCTGTTCCTGGCAGAAAACACTAATCCTGAGGCCAACCAGTATCACCTGCCCCCATGGGGAAGGGGCCCACCATCACTAGGAGGAATTTTGCCACAGACATCTAACCTGGATCTAATCAGGCCTCTAGCCCTGCCTCTCCATTTACAGGAAGCACAGAGGGTGAGAAACAGATTAAATGACACCAGAAGGAAGTCATCCCACAGATCCAGAAGAGGGCCCATCTACAGGGAAAATGCCACAATAAATGTTGGGGAACTGTTCTAGAAGAGAACAGTAACCAACTGCAATGTGTGAGCCGAGACTGGCTCTTACTGTTCAAGTGACAATTTGAGATAACTTAGGAACCATGACCCCGGACTCAAAGATCAGAAGACACACTGGAATGGCAAATTTCTCAGGAGTCTATCCACGCGCTGTGGTTGCATAGGATAGTGTTTCTGTCTTAGAGCAGCAGTTCAACTGGGTTGACTGTAGGGTTCTCTAGAGACATTCTTGGTTGTTATGACTGGGGCAGGGGAGAGGCGTGCCACTATCATCTAATGCAGAGCCCAGGAATACTGCTAAACATTCTACGATGCATGGGACAGCCCCCCCACACACACACTTATCCAGCGGTAACTGTCAAAAGCTCTACAGTCAAGAACCCTGGGCTAGAGGAACGCTGCAGATTGATAGGTCATATGATGAAGGATTATGATGTCTTCTGAATATATAAACAGGACAAAATGTTAATTTGAAGCCAGGTAGAAGTATACGGGCATTCATATTATTCTTTTAACCTTTCTAAACGTTTGATTTTTTTCTTTTTTTTTTTTCTTTTTTTTAAGTAGTAAGAAGCTGGGGGAAAATTTTAAAAAAGGTGGGAAACCTGATGGGGTATGGGAGTTGCAGGAAGGACCCAGGAGTCCCCGGTAGTCCCGGGTGGAACTCAAGATCAAGAGGCTTTGGCTGACACTGTGCCCCAAACGGGAAAAGCTCGTGTGCCACCGGGAACAACGCGTGGGAATTCCAGGGGCAACCGAGAGGGATCTGGCCCCAGAGACTGCCGCACAGTCCTCGACACATGTTCATCACTGTGGGGCATCGGCTGTCATCGGCTGGTGGCCACCACCCGGGTGTGTCCCTGGGCTGGCCGAGCACCCAGGCCTTGGGGCCACGCTGCCTGGGAGGAGCTGGGGAGCTTCGGGGAGCAGGAACAGTCTCGTTCTCAGAGGGCAACTGACGAGACTCATGTGTCATGAAAAAAGCGTTATCAAAGACTCCGCGCCAAGAGTCCGGTCAGTTTCCCGGGCCTCTTGCGAGCTAGGCCCAGAGAAAGGCAGAACTGCACGGAGACCGACAGCGCCCTGGCGCCGCCAGCCGGGCGGGCTGACCCCGGGAGTCCGCTTCCCCGAGGAGCCCTCGGCGTGGCCCGCCGCCCCGCCCGCGTACCTCGGTGGTCGTTCTGCAGCCGCAGGCGCTGGTTGTACAGACTCTTCTCGGTGAGGTGCTGGATCTCCAGCAGCCCCTGCACGATTTCGAACACGGTGCCGTCCAGGAGCGCCAGGGCCAGGTCGCTGAGCGTGGTGTACGACAGGCGCTGCTGGAAGGAGCTACGGGCAGAGGGGGCGATGAGCACCGAGCGGCCGCGAGGCGCCTCGGCCCGCCCACCGCCCACCCCGCCCCGGGTCGCGCACCTGGGCAGCTCCTTGACCAGGCTCTGCAGGGCCGACAACAGCTGGTAGTGTCGCTCCTGCTGCCGGGTTCCGTCCGCCGCCTCCTCGAAGGTACCAGGGTACCGCTCCATGTCGCCGGCGCCCCGCCCGCCGCGGGCCACTGCGACCCGTCCCGTCCCTTCTACGTCACTCAGGAGCGCGACGAGTTCGGCGGCCTGGTAGCCTAGCCCCCAGAGGCTCGCCCCACTCTTGCGTCATTCAAAACAAGGCCGCCCCGCCTCCAGCCCGCCCTCCCGGAGGCTCGCTCGCCCCTCCGCGGACCCGCCCCAGGGAGTTCCGCATGGTCCCTGGCCTTCTGGGGAGCTCTGGTAGCATACTGCCGAAGGCACTTACTTGGCTGCTAACCAGAAGGCTGGGGGTTCAAACCCACCAGCCACTCCTCGGAAGGAAGGTTGGGCAATCCTACTTCCGCAGTGATACTGCCTCGGAAACCCAAGGAGGACTCGCTATGAGTCGGGTGGACTCCACGGCACATAACAGCAACAACTCTGGTTGCTGCTTCGTCCTGGCCTCTTCGAGTGTAGCTCCACCGCCTGGGAACCCTGAGATCGCCAAGGCCGCCTGGCTGCGCCGAGCCGCGCCCCAGCGCCTTCGCCGTTTCCGGCCCCTGCGTTTCTGCTCGAGGCGAGTGGGGCTGCGGCAGCGCCTCCAAGCGGCCTGAGGCCCCTGTGCGGTCTCTGCCTGGCAGTTCTCCAAAGGGCTCCTGTTGGGCTGTGCCCACAGAACCCCAGCTCCGCAGATCACAGATGACCTCTATCCTTCTCCCTCGCTTCTCGGGCCTCAGTCTCTTTGTTTTACAGGGAATAGTAAAGTGCTTTTTCACTGCATTCACTGCAGTGAGGATTACGTGCCTAGTAATACTGTTCGAAGTGCGCCGTCACAGGTGCCACCTCCGTGTAAGCGTGGGGCTGGGCCTAGCAGGGGCACCGCGGGACGGCCCGGCCAGGCCACATTAGGTCAGGGTGCTCGCCTGGGGACCTGGCCAAGAGTCTGAGAGCACTAGCAAAGGCAAGGTAGGGAGGTCTTCCCTGTGTTTCCGGTGGGAGGGAGCCCCAAGCGCCGCATGTCCGTGGCCTTGCCTTTCAACTGCCTCCGCTAACTGGACA